GTTATAGTGATTTGTGACAGGGCCAGGAATGGTAGACTTCCTACAAGGTAAGGGACTGTCCCACATAGTAAAGAACTGACTTCACTCAAGTCTCACAGAAGTGTCTCTTATGTCCCATGGCCATTCCTGCTCTTATAATTTTATAAATTTTTAAGCCTAGACCCTACTTTTGTTTTTGCATTTAAATAGAAAGTAATTTGAATTTAAATATTTCTAAGATACTGACATTTCCAAGAGTGTATCTATCATGTAAATTAAGAGAAGATCAGAAGATTGTTCTTTGTTTTATTTGGAACCTTATCAAGAGTCTTTACTATTTTGGGCATTATGTCCTTGCCTGCAGTACATGGCTAATGGTTGTTATAGCTGCCGCATTAATGGTGATTCTGTGTATATGTGCAAGAATGGGGCAACTTATTATTGTATCTTCTAGATTAATCATATCTGAGCATTTACTTACTGACATATATATTATTTTATCTCAAATTACATTTCTTTTATTTCTTTATATTACAAATAAGGCATTCCATTAATAACATTATCTGCTGGTAAGCCAGGGGCCAGAGTTTGAACCCAACATTCTGGATCCCAGAGCTACACACTCTTTTTTTTTTTTTTAAAGATTTTATTTATTTATTTGACAGAGAGAGGGAACACAAGCACGGGGAGTGGGAGAGAGAGAAGCAGGCTCCCCAGCGAGCAAGGAGCCTGATGTGGGGCTCGATCCCAGGACCCTGGGATCATGACCTGAGCTGAGGGCAGACGCTTAACGACTGAGCCACCCAGGCACCCCCAGAGCTACACACACTTAACCACGGTTATTCTGTTTCTTATCACAGGACGCCAATAGAAATATCAGGCAAAAAGAGGGCAGAGTTCTGGACAGGCCTTGAGAGGCAGGGAGTATGTGGTTCTGAAAATGCAGACCAGTGCACAGTCTCCATGTAGAGTGGCCTGTAGCAGAACTGGTGAAGGTTACTGAGAAACCTGCTGGCTGGTCTCATGGGTTTCAAGTGAAGGCAAGATGGTCTGCCGATGCCCATTGTGGGTATAGGAGTAGAGCTGGATGGACTGTTGCAGATTTCCATGGTTCCTGCTATGGACGACCAGGATTCCATGGTCTCCCCATCCCACCAGGAAAGAATGGATGGACAATCCACTGATAGTTTTGAACTCACAGAACTGTTTCCACTACACACCTACTGGAATCTATATTATTCGCTGGCATGTTCAATATTCAACTTTTAGTAAGCATGTAGGATGGCCCTGCTAGACTCCAGAAAAGTTAAAGAAAAGCTTTGACTAAGTTCCCTCACACCTTTTTAAGCATGTATTTAAAATCAGACCAGCAAACCACCTTGATTTTTTTCTCAGTCTGAGTTTATCCACTTTTTTCCATATGCTAATATCAACGGGCTGAATTTCTTCTTGGTTGGTTGAGAATTTCTCTGATTTAAAATTGATTATTGAATCTTGAAAATCAAGTAAAGTTTTCATGTGTGAATACAATTTTTTTTTTAGTGGGTCAAAAATGCTCAGTGTGGCCTTTGCCAGTAAAAATTAGGAGTGGTGGATTAGAAAAATCTGCCTGTCTGGATTTATTTTGTGTAGGCCTCAATTGCCCTACTTAGTTCTCATTTTTCTGGGAGCTTCTTAAGATGGTGATGAGTAGAGTTCTAATGAGCTGGAACCTTCTTCCTCAGCTACAGTTTTGATAGGTTGTTTGTCTCTAGTTTGAAGAGACTCTTATTGAGGTTAAATAGAAGACATATAGCATCCAGAGAAATCTGTAGATTAGTATATTAAAATGTATCTGCCTCTCCTATTTTGAAATAACTGCTCATGGCAGTTCTTGGCCTATTTGTTGACAAATCACTCCGGAATAATTAGATAAGAGGCAGCTGTATGTACACTTTAATTAGCTGTTCTTGCCCCCAAAACTTGATCAGAAACTTTTCCTTGACTCATTACTGTGAGCCTAACACTGTTATAATTCTCCTCTTAATGCATATGAACTTTGCAGGCCTATTAAAAACCATGAAATACATACATATGCTGAATGAAACATTTTTATGTATCTGTAGAATTAAAACGGAGGGAGAAATTGATAGGAGTGGATTTCAGATTGAGGCAGTGTGGCAGTGATGTTTATTTGAGGCATTTTTGCCTATGTAAAGAATACTGGCAAGGCATTTTGATTACTTGTTTATAATATGTTTGGTCAGAAGTTGTGCCCTAGCACCAGCACAAGTGTTGGTGAACATTACTAACTTCTATGCACGAGTGATAAACATTTATCTTACTTTAAAACTGGAAGAACTGAAACCCTCTTAAACCCTGTTCCCAACTTAGAGATGGCTTGTACTTCCTTTGCTAATTCTTCAATTAGCTATGTAGAACCTGGAAATCAGTTCCTTATAATATTGTGTGATTTTTTTCTTATAGCCTAAAAACACCAGAAGTCAAGGAATTTTTCTGTGAAGGGCTGGACAGTAAATAATTTAGACTTGGCGTGTCATAGTATCCCTGTCATAACTACTCATGTGGTAAAGCAAAAGCAGTCATAGACAGTACCTAAACATATAGGCATGGCTGTGTTCCAAAAAATATTCTTTAGGTACACTGCAATTGAAATTTCATATAATTTTCATGTGTTACAAGATATTATTTTTCTTTTAATTTTTCCATCTATTTAAAATTGTAAAAACTATTTTTAGTTCACTGGTTGTACAACAACAGGTGGCAGGCCATGTTTGACCCCTGAGCAGCAGTTTGCAAACCCCGGATATGCACAGAAGTGAGTTCTACTCACAATGCTAAAGAACGTAACCATATGTATGTTAAAATACTTGAGATACTTAACGTTTGTATAGGAAAATGCAGTTTATGTCTAATTGGAAATGTCAGGGGCACATCTGTTACAAAATGATCTAAGCCAAGTTGGCTGTTCACAATCAATGGATATGTTTTTATTGATAGATATGACAGCCACTATTGTTGTTGTAGGCGAGGGCTATAGATCTCCCACTTCCATATCCAAAGGCAGGTTATAGGGAAAGCATGTCTCACATCAGATTCTGCATATATGAAAACATCACTTAGCAAGTGGCACAGAAATAGTTATCACTTTGTCCATGCGATCTTAACGCAGTGCCATTTTTACGTACCTAATACCCTGCATGAGTACACTACAAAAAGACAATTTCTACAAGGAAGATTCAGATAACCTAGGAATCTGGTGACAGAATTCTGTTAATGGCAAAAACCAGGCCATAAGAGAACTCTAGGCCAAGAATGTCATTTCAAGGGTATAAGCTATGGGGGGATCATATTTATACACATGTAATTGCCAAGGTATTCATGTGTATAAATATGATCCCTATTTCTATTCCTAGGGAATAGGAATGGTATTCCTAGGGAATCTGTATGTCTTGAATATCTCATTTCACCAATGAAAAGACATTTCTCTCTCTCTCTTTTTTTAGAGAGCGTGTGCACTGTGTGTGGGGGGGTAATAGGAGGGGTGGAAGGAGAGGGAGACTAGGAGAGAGAAAATCTTAAGAGGCCCCACACCCAGCATGAAGCCCCACCTGGGGCCCTAATTAAAGACCCTGATTTGAGCTGAAATCAAGAGTGGGGATGCTTAACCCACTGAGCCACCTAGGTGCCCCTGGAAAGACATTTCTAATATGTCATATGCTAATTAAACCCTCTAGTGCTGATAGGAATAGTTAAAAATACTTGTGGTAGGGCGCCTGGGTGGCTCAGTCGGTTAAGCGACTGCCTTCGGCTCAGGTCATGATCCTGGAGTCCCGGGATCGAGTCCCGCATCGGGCTCCCTGCTCGGCAGGGAGTCTGCTTCTCCCTCTGGCCCTCCCCCCTCTCATGTGCTCTCTCTCAAAGAAATAAATCAAATCTTAAAAAAAAAAAAAATACTTGTGGTAGCTGCCTCTGGAATATGGGCTGCTGCTGCTTTTTTTTTTATTTTATTAAAGATTTTATGTATTAATTTGATAGAGAGAGGGAGAGAGCATGAGCCAGAGGGAGAGGCAGAGGAAGGAGAAGCAAACTCCTCACTGAGCAAGCAGTGTGACGTGGGGCTCAATCCAGGAATCCTGTGATCATGACCTCAGCCGAAGGCAGCTGCTTAACGACTGAGCCACCCAGGCGCTCCTAGAATATGGGCTTAGTAGCACCACTCAAATACTAGCCATCCACCCACGGAGTGAGCGTGAACAAGGACCATTAAATATAAGTTAACATTCAGTTATAGATCAAAACTAACATACATACACACCATAATTTCTATGTTTAAGTACTGAAAAATAAATCACGGACAATACAATATTCTTCTAGGGGAAAACTACCGCAGCAAAATCAGTGATTCCTTTTTCCCTTAGCAGGCTATCCTCCGAAAACTGAGAATAGGGACCCTTTCCACACATGGCTGGTGTGGTTGTTCATTGGAAGGGGCAAGGAAAATTTTGGGTAGGAGCAAACACAGTAATTTTAAGGAACAGGAGCTGTGGAATCTTTGAGGACACGGGCTTCTGTGAGTAGAAAGCTACGGGAGTTCCGGTTCAAGATGGCGACGGGAGAGGGTCGTGAACCGATCTCCTTCCGTGAACACCCCAAGCTACAGCTACATACAGAACAACTTCCTCAGAAACCAACCCAAAACCTGGCTGAGCGACTGCTCTGCACTGGCGAGAGACGGCTACAACAAAGCAGGTAGGAGAAGCCAGGGCGTAATCTCGCTCTAAACCCCACCCGACCGCACCCCGCTACTTGAGCTGGGAATGCAAAACCTGGAGCTTCTCTCTGAGGAGCAGAGTTTGAACCCTACATGAGACATCTCCAAATTTTAAGACCTGCACCTGAAAGACAACCCCCACAAAGCGCTAGCTTTAAAAACCCGCGGGGCTGGCTGTGTCCAGCAGACCCACGAGCTGTAATGAACTGAGAAACGGCCTTTGAAGGGTCTGTGTGCTCAGACTCACCTGCCCCTGGGCCCTGAGCAGAAGCCGATGGAGGCGTGCGGGTGGAGGGGTGCCGGCTTTTGTGCCCCAGAGGCTTGTCTTGGGGTGTCCAGGGCACACCCCTGATTTGACACATATTTGGGGGCCTGCTGGGGTGCCCTCCAGGATGGAGACGGGTAGGTGCCGTCTTCACGCCGGCCTGCATGCTTTGCTCCAGCCAGGCCGATGCCATCTTTTTTTCTTTCCCCTCAGGTTCCATCTTCCTTCCTGCCCTCCCTCCGCTGTGCTCCAGTGTCAGAATCTCCCAGGGCCGTGGTGGTGGTGGTGGTGGGGGGGGGGGGGGCGGGGGGGGGCGCTTTACACACGTCTGGTGCGCCGGTTTTACGTCTAGTGCTTTGGTTTTACGTCTAGTGCTTTGGTTTTACGTCTAGTGCTTTGGTTTTACGTCTAGTGCTTTGGTTTTACGTCTAGTGCTTTGGCTTTACGTCTGATCCCTCAGGTTTTTGCGGCTGCTGCCAGGGGACGCCTCCAGATAGCCTGACTCTGGGGCTAGCCGGGCTTACGGCTCGGTCCCACAGGACTGTAACAAACGGACAAAACATCCTGCAGACTAACGTTCCCCCTGGGGCGGGGCGGGGCGGCGGGGAAGGAGGTTGCTTTTTCTCTCTCTGTGGAATAGAACACAACTTTTTCACTTTCTTGACCTTGAAACGCTAGTGGGGTTTGTACAAAAAATAAATTTAAAAAAAATTAAAGCTTTGTAAAGTGGAAGAAACAGTGGATAAAAAAGAACAAAAGTTTTATTGCTGAATCCTGTCACAAAACGGACCCTGATGGAATTGTGGGTGATTTTTTTCTTCCTATATTTTTAAAGTTTTTTTTTTCTTTTTCCCTGCAGTATGGCATTAATTAGAATGTTACCAGACTCTGATCCTTCTTAGTTTTTCTTTCTCCATAACCACATCTTTACAATTTTATTTTTTAATTTATGCAATATGTGAAACATACCCAAAAGTAGAAAGGATTTCATGGCTAATTTTTCAGCTATGTCCTCACCTCCTTGCCCCACGCCTGTATTATTTTGAGGAAAATCTCATGTTCTTTTATCATATTTAAGTTTGTATTTCTAGAAGATAAGGACTCATTTAAAAAACAACTGTAATTCCAGTGTCACACCAAAAAAAATTAACAGTAATTCTATAATATCATCAAACATGCAGTGTTTATATTTTTAATTATGTGATAAGATCCAAAAATTGCAACTGGTTGGTATGCATTTGAGTCTCTTCTAATCTACAACCTCTGTCCTTTCTTCTTTTCTCTCCCTTCCTTGCAGTTTAAAAGAAGAAACTTTTGTATTTCTAGGATTTTTTCCATAATCTGGCTTTTTACTGATTCATATTTGATTTTGAGAATTTTCCTTTATTTCTTTTTTCTTAATATTTTTGTTATATTTCATTCCATATTCATTGTATTTCATGTTGAATGTTTTTAAAAATATTTATTTATTTAATTTTTAAATATGGAGAAGTATAGAAAGAAATATTTTAGTTCCTCTTCCACTCTGAGGATAGTCCTGCCACTAGACCTCTTTCAATTATTGGGATAGTGCTCTTGAGGTCTCTTCTTAGGAATGAAACTAGCCCAACAAATATCTTCCCTCTTTCTCCCTCTCTATCATTCATTAAACTAGTGGTTCTTAGCAAGATAGTACTGTCCCCAAGGACTGTTCTGGAAACTTTTGGGTTGTTTTAGTTGTCAAATGGCTGAGGGTGTGGAGGAAGCTAATAGACTCAGCAGGCAGGAGCTGGGAGGTTAGACATCCTACAATATGTGGCACCATCCTTAACAGTGAAGAATTGTCCCATGTACTGCACTGCTTTTGAATGTTACCCTCAAATTCATTTGTAATACTCTTGAGACTGGATTTCAGTTCCGTTTTACCTATAACTACAAAGTAATTTTTCCACAGCTTTTATCATACATTGTATTTACTACAAATGCAGTTACTCTGGTGTCTAAAGTGTTCGATCAGTTGGGGGCCCCCCAATGTGGGGCCATGATCAGGTGGAAGCCAATGGTGTGGGAGGTGAAAATTCACTTGAGGCAGAGCAAAGGAGATAGAAATTTATTGAATACACCGCAAGGGAGCCGTGGCCGGACAACAAAGGAGAGGCTCTCTGTAAGGAGGCGGTGGGTGGGGGAAGGTGTTTTTAAAGGGGGAAGATGAGGAGGTATGGTGAAGTATGGAATCGTCCCTTTTTTGGTAACTGGGCCTACTTGTAAGGAGCCCATTGATCAGGTAGGCCTATGGATATTTTGATGTGGGAGGCCTTCTAGGCCTGTCGGTGTTCAGCCAGGTGGTTGCTGTGGGCCTTTTCCATTGCTCAAGCCTGTTTGCCTAAAAGCAGCCTTTATAGTTACTGGGTAAATTGAGGCAACACGGAAATCTATTTTGTTTGGATCTTTCCATTTGAGAAAACTACTAGTAGCATTACCGCTCATGGTTTTTGAACTGCCAACACAACATAGCTGTCTTGTGTGCTTTTTGGCTGTTGCCTCCACCAGGCTACTTCTAAATACAAATATGTGATGATTTCTTCATTATGTCTTCTCATTCAGGGCAGTGCCTCCCAAACCGTAATGTGAGGTTGCTATTGTAGTCTGCCCAAGCAGTTATGTTGTGAAGCAGTATTGTTTTATTTTACTTACTTATTTCTTAAGGATTTTATTTATTTTAGAGAGAGAGAGTACGTGCCACCAGGGTAGGGGTGGGGGGGTAGCTGGGGCAGAGTCAAAGGGAGAGAGGGAATCTCAAGCAGACTCCATGCTGACCACGGAGCCTGATCCCACAACTATGAGATCTGACCTGAGCTGAAATCAAGAGTTGGATGCTGAACCAACTGAGCCACCCAGGTGCCCTGAAGCAGTATTATTCTATTATAATTTTTACATCTCCTATTTATTATAGTTGGAGCTTTATATACATTATTTTGAAATAATGTACGTAGGTAGGTTTATATTATCTATGGATTTTATTTAAACATGGTATGATGGGACAGCAAATATTTGTTATTAAAGCAGGGATTGGGGGCGCCTGGGTGGCTCAGTCGTTAAGCGTCTGCCTTCCGCTCAGGTCATCCCAGGTCCTGGGATGGAGCCCCAAGCCCCACATCGGGCTCCCTGCTCTGCGGGAAGCCTGCTTCTCCCTCTCCGACTCCCTCTGCTTGTGTTCCCTCTCTCGCTGTGTCTCTCTCTGTCAAATAAATAAATAAAATCTTTAAAAAAAATAAATAAAGCAGGGATTGGATCTGATGAGATTGAGCCCCACAGGTTTAGGTTGGTGGGGAGAGTTGAAACAGCACTGACCAGTTAGGGATCACTGAATATGTGTAAACATTTTAACAGTGGAGTTGGCATAATAATAGCTGACACTTTAGGTAGTTTTTGCTTAATGTGCTGGGAACCCTTCTTTCCAAATGCTTTACCTAAATCAACGTCCTCAATGCTCATTACAGCTCCAAGAGGTCAGTGGGAGCTATCACTCTCCCCTTCTCATAAATGAGAAAACAAGGGACCTAGATATGAAGTAATTTACCCAAGGCCACATAACTAAGTGCCAGAGCTGGGATACAAACCCTGGCAATGAGGCTACGAAGTCTGTTCTCTTAACCACTGCATTTGATTGCTTTTCTTTTGAAGCACAATTCACTGAGCACAAAGGAAGGAAAATCAGACATATTGGCAGAAAATATACAGGTGCTAGATTTAAAGGGAAAATGGATATGCAATTTTGCCTTTTAGAGACTAGTCTTGCTGAGTTGGTGGTAGGGTTAGAAGTAAACCTTTAAAGTGCATACTAGTCCCCTGGAGGGGCTCTAAAAATATTTGCTGAGTGAATGAAGTACTTTATAGGATTGGCTGCAGTGGAGAATAAAATTATGGAAGAGTCTCAAAGTTAATAAAGAGAGTAAGACAGAACTTGGGCATCTAAACTACACAAAGGATTGTAGCAGGTGCCTTCTGTGAAGTGTAGCACACCAGAAACGTGTCTGGTGTTTCCACCATAAGCATCTTCGTTGCAGGCGTTTTCATGGCATAACTAATTGCCATAAGGCAATTTTACTGTAAAAAATAAAATCATGAAAAATGAAAGAGGGACATTCATTAAAAAAGACTATTAAATAACATGAAAAATGAACAACAAAATGAAAAAGGCTTTATTGAGAAATAAATTGAATGCATTCAAAATGTATGTAGATTCATGGCAATACTGTGCAAATAACTGATTTTAATTTGTGGACTGTACCAAAGCACTTGTCTTCAAGGTTTTTTGTTCATAATATTATACTTTTTTTTAAAAAAAGATTTTATTTATTTATGAGAGAGAGAGAGAGTGTGTGCATGAGCGTGTGCGTGAGTGTGGGGGGAGGGGCAGAGAGAGAGGGAGAAGCAGGCTCCCCATTGAGCAGGGAGCCTGTCCTGGGCTAGATCCCAGGACTCTGGGATCGTGACTTGAGCCGAAGGCAGACCGACAGAGCCATCTAGGCGCCCCCCCCCCCCTTTTTTTTGCTTGTTGGTTTGTTTCCTTGTTTGGCATCACACTTCTCTGTCGTTTTTTTTTTCTTTTTACCAAAACTTCTTCCTTCATTAAGAGTAGTATCAGTTTCCAAATACTACGATGCATATTTGTAACTGAACTTTGTATTGTGTTGTGAAGACCTTCTCTGCTGGTGTGTGTTCTTGGTATATTGTCATATGTCCTTTGATAGATGTTCCAAAGTTCTATGTGAAATGTGGGTTCAAAACTCTGCATCACTGTATAGACTATTATGAGGGCTAATATATAATTATATTTATTAATATAAAAATGAGAGTATTGCTTCAGTGGAGAAATGAAACCAAACTGTCAGCCAGTTGTTGAAACTAATAAACTGTCAAACCAGTCTGTTAACCAGTTATTTATTTTTTAATGGCAAAATTGTCTTACAGCCAATTAGTTATGCAGAGAAAATGTTTGCACGAAAATCTTGCAGCGAAAATGCTTTTGGCAAAGAAGCTTACTGCAAAACTAGCTAGAACCCATAAGAGGAATTCCATGTGGGAGTTGCTTAATTTGCTTACCCAGGACCACAGAATTTTAACTACAAATGTTAATTAGGATACATCTGGTTCAAATATCCATCTTGACAATATCTGACTGGGGCTAGAAGAGAAGGGGGGTGTTTCTTAACAGAGATTTTTAAATAAATTGACAGAACTCACATTACAAATACATCATATTAAAGAGTTAACTGAAACATGGA